TTGCCATTTTTAAAAAAATTGAAAAAAAAAGTATTTCAGTTTTTTGCGACGACTTTTTTATACTTGTCGTCGCAAAAAAGTAAGATTATTTGCGACGACATTTTAAAATTTGTCGTCGTAAAAAATATTATATCACGAGAATTTCACAACGGCGTATTAGCGACGCTTGTCGTCGCAAAAAAAATATGTCGACGCAAATATATCTGCGACGACACTGTAGCGTCGCAAAAAAAATTTTTGCGACTAATTTTTTGCGACGACATATCTGTGACGACATGTCGTCGCCAAAACGATTATTTACAACGACACTGGGGTTTTTGCGACGACTTTTTGTCGTCGCAAAAACCCATTTTTTTTGTAGTGTGTAATCAAGTGGGGAAAAAAAAAAAAAAAAAAAAAAAAGGAAACTGAGCGCCGGGACTTTGGATAAGATAACTTGAGAGAAAATTCTATTTTGTTTCTTGTATATAAACGTATGCACATATGTACGTGATGTATATAATAAACACATTAATAGACCTCGAATCCATCTTGCTCCAAGTCTTACATGAAGGCACATATTAGTGGTTCATAATATTCATCATCCACTTGGTTCATTAAATTAACTTAAGATGATTAGACGTGATCATGATTAGTTAATTAACTGGTCATTGAACACCCCTCAAGTGGAATAGAATTAGCCGATCGAGGAATGTCAGCATCCTAAAAAATAATATGCTCAATTAATGACTTAAACCACTAATTAGAACAGATCAATGTATTAAATTTCTTGGGTTCAAGAGATTATGATTATATACATATAGTCGAATAAACTATAATGTAATGCGTTTTTCTGAAGAAAATTTAGGAGATCAGTTTCATATATCCCAGTATACCTAACCAAGCTTGTCTAACAATTTTATGAATACCCATTTTAGATTAATTAAAGAACTGATGAGGGAACCCCGTGACTTAGAAGAGACAATTACTCGACAGAAAAGTAAGTGAATTACATAATACATATTTTACTGAGTCAATGCCAGTTTAGCTCACAAATATGTATGAGTTAACAAAAGGATCGATTTTCTTGCCAGTTTAATTTATTAGTTAAATATTGCGCTAATTGTGTAGTTGTGTAGATTTCTTTTTCCCAATGGTCCGGCCAAGATTAATGGTTTATAAAGAAAGGAGTTCTTCCTGAGTCCTGATTTATAAGAGTCCATTCTTTTGAAAGAAGCGAAAAAAATTTAATATTGGAGTCAAACTCTAAAAAATTGCAAATGGACGCGTCCTTACTAAACAAGTAATTTAGCAAAGATAGTGGGGAGGGGCATATATGTATGTATAAGTATATATATATATATATATATATATATATGTATAAATACTTTTTCCGTCTTATTGGTTTTGAGTAGCCAATTAAACAACAATACAGAATCCAATCATTAATCAGGTACTTGTTAGCTAGAGTGAGCATGAGAAGGCAAGAAAAAGTACTACATGTGCCAAGCGCATCTCTAATCGGCTTCCTCTCAACAATCCTGTTGATATATCTGGTGCTTTTATCGTCTCATGCAAGTAGTACTTCTGAGGAAAACCCGCGCGAAAGACTCGTGATGAGTTTAGGTAGTTTAGTAGATTATGCTTCCAGAGAGGGAAGAGAAGAAAAGGTGGCTATGGAGATGGCCATCGAGGATTTCTGTTCTAACCATTCGAGCAAGAACAAAATTAGCCTGAAATTCTGCATCTGAATCTCCAAGATGATCAGGTTACCAAGACGTTTCTTCACCACGCGGCTAAGAGATTCAGCTCACATGTTCCTTTTTTCGTGTCTTCTTTTGTGTCTTTCAATAATGTTATATTATATCACATTAATTAGTTTATGTTAACTGAGATAAACTTTTAATTAATGTCGCATGATATTTTAGTTAACATGACATTTTAATCACCGTGACTGGCACGCTGAGTTATGAAAGTTCTGGTGTAATCATCAATAGCAACAAGAAAATAATTACTTACAAGATCATGACCCATTGGCGATAAAATATTAATTGTACACATAACAATATTGGTACGGATTAAAAAAAATCTGTATATACATGCTTTAAAGCTGTGATTATTCGAATATAAGTTAGCAGATCATGATCATGATCTCTATTGTGAGCACATAGAATCTTATAAAATTAGGGCAGGTAATCCGGGTAGCGACACGACTACACGACATGAAACCCGCACGAAATTAGCGGGTTTGAGTTTATCATAAATAAGTCCGGGTCAAAATCAGGTCAAATCCGTACAATTAAATAACGTGTCATTTTCAGATTGACCCGCCAACTCACAATTGACCCGCCATAACTCGTTTATTAAACGTGTCATATTTGAGTAACATGATTATACAACTGTTTTATTACCTAGGTTAAAAATATTTCACACTATTTATTCTACCTCTCCATTCTCGCGCCGCCTCACCACCTCACCCAAGTCCAACATTTCTACTTTTCTTCTCTCTTGACTCTCGTCTCCTTTTCTCTTCTCTGTGACTCTCCACCGCCTGAGCTCTCAGTCCACTGGAGGACCACCGCGTGATCTCTCAGTCCATCAGACCACTGCCACTTCTCTCAGTCCACTGGACCACCGCGTGATCTTTCCTCTCCACTCGCCACACGAAACACGGTGTTTCTCAACCACAAGCAAAGATTAAGGTAAAACCCATCCCCACTAATTTTCTTGTCTTTCGGTTGTATCTATCGGTGATATGTATATATCTTTGTAAGTTGTTTGGATCTGTTCTGATCATGGTGTTTCGTCTTGTTTGGATCCTATCATTACAATTTTGTGCTTTTTCTATACTATTAGATCTTTAGGCATTTCTTAATCGAATGACGTGATGTGATCTATACCCGGTATTTCAATAGAATTTGTTTATTTGATTATTGCTAAAGCTTGAGAAGATAAATTATTGTGTTCGGTTATTGTGTTCTAATGATTCGCTGAACCTGGCTAAAGTTGGCACCTTTGATCGGAGTCTAAAAGAAATAGTTAAAGATTTTGAATTTCTTCATTACATTTGTTTTTTTTTCCTCTTCATTTGTTACCGGGAAAATTGTCTCCAAATGGAACCAATGGCGTATCCCCGTGTTATTAAAGAGGAACAATGAACAAATCAGGAGATTATTTCCCTTAAAAATGAATTGGAATAGCTAATACTTAGAAGCGTGATAACATTTTGGAATGCTCATGGCTTTGTCTATTATCGGAGTCCAAATGTTTCAATCTACTTTCTCTATTATCTCATGGCTTTGTGATTTCGGAATGCTTGTTTGATTCTCTATTATTTACTTTCTCTATTATTAATCATGTATGTTTGTTTTCTAATTTGTGAGACTTTTATGTGTTTATTTTTTAATTTATGAGAGACCTTTATGTGTTTGTTTTAATTTTAAACTTAGATTATGTAATATCTCTACATCATGTTAAACAGGTTGAGAAACATGTTTTATCACTCATTTTATAAACAGGTTCAAAGTAGGCTCAGAAATAGGTTGACACGACTCACTTATCACCCCTTTCATAAATAGGTTTAAAAATAGGTTCAAAAATAGGTTCAAAAATAGGTTAACACAACTTGTGAATCACTTATTTTATAAACGTGTTGGCAGGTAATCAACGGGTTGACATGACACGTTTACGACCTGTGTAATAAACGGGTTAGTCGTGTCGTGTCGTGTCAACCCACCAATATACATGTCGTATTTGAGTTTTATATTTTGACACAATTAATAAACGGGTCGTGTTTGTGTCAAGTCTATTCGTGTCAACTGAGGGGTTCAATACGACACGAACACGACCCGTCAACACGAATTAACAAAACGGATAAATAATAGTTATAATAACAATTATCAGAGCACATATTTTCTAAGGTAATCTTCACAACTACTCTTTAAAAGTATATGTGTCAAAATTTTTATCATTTATTTTTTATTTATAACCTTTTTAGTCAAATAATTATACTAATACAAGGGTATTTATAAAAAATAAATGATAAAAGTTCAAACTCATACACTCTTAAGAGTAAATTCTACAATTTTCTCTATTTTATTTTTTTCTAGTATTTGCCTTGGGCCTTGTGTTATTGTTTTGTTGTTGTTTTACATATACGGGTGATGTATTATTATTTTAAACATGTAATATTAATAAGATGAGTAATCAACAATTGAAAGAAAATTATTAAAAACTTATTTATATATAAATAATCATTAAAAATTTGTTTATATATTCATAACCATTAGAAACTCCACAATAGCTATATAACATATATATATATATATGTGTGTGTGTGTGCGTAATATATGTATATTTTTATATGCTTTATATCAGACTAGTGCAATTAACTTGGTGCATTCATGTCTAGAAAACAAACTCATCATTCAATCCACATACATGATTACGCATGTTCTTGAATATTTACACTTGCCATGTTGTTTTCCCAAGTTGACACAAATAAATAAGTTACTAGAACCAAGAAATGTACACTGGAAAAGTACAATAGAGACCTGAAATCAAAGTACCAAAAACAATACCCCTGACAATCTTTCCTTTCGTTCATCATCCCAACACAAACCCACTATCCTTTGCCTTCCCACTCTCACTTTAAAAGAAGAACCAAATTAAATAAAATAAAAGACATGATAAAATACAAAAGAATCAATGTGCAAGAAAATACTAAAAAAGAATCATCACAACACCCCCAACTCCTTCAATCAGTTAAAGCTAGCTAGCTAACAAAGACAATCTTTTGTTTTTTTTTTTTTTTTTTTTTTTTTTTTATTTTCTTTTCTTTGAAGAGAAAGCACACAGTTGCACATGTTCTTTCCTGCAATTCCAATCATGCAATCTCCAAGTGGTCCCCTTCTTAAAAGGAAAAACACATCACGTGACGGCACAGGTCAACAGCAGAGAGCACCCAATAAACCTCACTCTCTCTCTTTCTCTCTCTCTCCACCCAAAAATAATGTGTCTGTTTCCCTTGGTGTCTGATTAGGTGCTTTCAACTCTCTCTAAAAAGATCAGGCAAACTGGCAAAGCTAACTTCTTCTGAATCAAATTTTGTTGTTGCAGAAGCTAGTAGTAAAACTAGTACCTACTAAAATGACTCAGAATCATCGAAAATGATGATTTGTTTTTACCCTTTTTAGTACATAATAAAATGAGTACCCCAGAAAAGTTTTAAGTTATCAATATGCAACCTTTGACCATATACTTACTAGAAAAATTAATTAATGCATTATAATATAAATTATTTATTATCCGTTACGAAGTGACATTGAGAAGGTGCTCTTTTCGATCAATATTAGGAGATTTTGCATGATCACCAGTTGGTGTATTTGGAGATGGTGATTGTGAATTAGCATTTTCCATCTTCTTGAGGTTCTGTTGGTGATACACTTGTCTCAGTCTCTCTATTTCTCTCTTCAGTGCTTCTTGATGAGCTGCATTTGTAGCCCCAAAACAAAAATAAATAAATATAGCGCATGAACTATATATATATATATATATATATATATATATTTATATATAGTGAATTAGCATTTTCCATCTTCTTGAGGTTCTGTTGGTGATACACTTGTCTCAGTCTCTCTATTTCTCTCTTCAGTGCTTCTTGATGAGCTGCATTTGTAGCCCCAAAACAAAAATAAATAAATATAGCGCATGAACTATATAAATATATATATATATATATATATATTTATTTATTTATTTTAAAAAATAAAACAGTAAGTAAAAAGGTGAGGAGTGGGTGAATGATAGTTAATGATAGAATAATGAATACCTTACTCATCATAAAAGAAAAGTAATAATATCCTATAAGTAAGATTTTGTTTTAAATCGTCACATATGTATAAGTTGAGATCAATTTTATATATGACATTTTGATCAGATTTAATGTTTGGAAATATGCCCTACGGCCAATGACGGAGAGATGAGTGACTTTTTTTTTTAAATATAGTAATTTTAATTTTAATATAGTAGATATGTATATAAATTATATTTGGTCTCTTTCAAATTAATAGTTATCTACATTTTATTGGGTCATGAATTAATTTAATAAATAAATACTGTTACATAAATATACATGTTAGTATAATATTGATAAAAAAAAAATTTTAACCCCTACTAATAAAACCTGGCTCTATCAAAAAAAGCTACTTAATGATAAACCCTTTTTATGTAGAAAATTTTGTGTTCTCCGTGATTGGTGTTGTTAGGTCATGGTCTCAGCTATTCTGTCACTAATCAGTTTGTGTTGGGTTTTTTTTTTTTTTTTTTTTTTTTTTTCGGATACCCCTTTTTTTCAAAA